ATTATTGTTGCAAGGCTTCTTACTGAAATTAAGTAATTTTTTTCGCGCGCGCTTCTGTGACGTCAGACACGCAAATGTAACAATTTCTTAGAACGGTTTATGTTTTCACGAAGTGACACATAGTCCAGGCAAAATAAGGTTTGACCTCAAACGAATTGCAACAGATTTTTTTTCACCACAGTGCGTTTCTATAAGGTCCCTTAAATGACATACTAAAAGTCCAAAAAATCCAAGTTGTGGAAATATGCCTAATTTGCATAATCCAAAATGGCTGCATATTTTAGGACTTTTACATTGATTGGGTCATATTTCTCATACTAGATAGCTTCTTGAGGAACTTCAAACAATAATTTTAGTCCTTTTACATTGATTTCATCATTATTCTAGTCCTAGGTAAATTTCAATATCCCTACGTTCCCAAATTTGCCAAATGCAGTGTCATAATTTGCATAAATGCCATATATTAATTTGCATAAATTAAAGTTAAAATTATGGCTGTCATGTGTTGACATCACAATGAATTTTTCCTAATAACTTCTAGTTCATTAATGTATACATAAATATCACACCACAGATGTCTCTATATTTCATTATAATTAATGTATTTATTTGCAATTAAACATCAAACGAAATGGTTGGATTAAAAACAAAGATACATCAAATTCTTCCACAAATTTTAACATGAAACCTTAACAAAAAGTATAATTAAAATGAACGCACAAAATTAAATGACATTAAAACACAACCCCCCCCCCCAAAAAAAAAAACCCCGCCAAACTACTCTCAATAAAAGTAGAAAGGAAAACAATCTCTTAAAGCTAAGTAGTGTGTGATAAAAAAAAATAGATTGGGGGATGTCACACGACTTTTCTCACTAATATGTTTCAATTGTAGAACTCTCCCCTGACATTTTACCCCTAAAGGGGCCGGGGGCGGAATCCGCCTCCCCCCCCCCCCTCAACATTTTCCGTGATAGCCTCTAAAAAAAACAATTTCGCGACCCGAGCTGTTATGAAAAATTTTTCCGGCGCTACGCGCCGTGAAAACTGAATTTGTGCATATACGTCGTGTACACAGAGCAGAATTGCCATTCGGACACATGTGAATAATTAAGTAGCCATAATTCCAAAACCCTTTGACCTATAGTCATGAAATTTCGTGGGTATGTTTGGGAAGAGTTGCTCTATGCATGTGCCGAGTTTCAAAATTTTTCGTCACTCGATGTCCGAGATCTTGGGGGGGGGCGGAATCCGCCCCCCCCCCCCCCTGGCTGAGAGATGGTCAAAATAACCCGGCTCCTTTAGGGTTACTTATTATTTCATTGAATTACAACAATTCACCTGTTGTAGAGCCACTAGCCTTGCATTGCACCTGCAGTGATCCTAAAAAAAGTCAAGATACGTGAACCCGCTTTCCTCAAATCAGCGGCTTTTGTGCCCCCGTTAAAAGAGCTGGGTCTGTGAGCTTGCAGCTGACATAATTTCGCCATTTAGTTACAGTTAAATTTCTAAAAGCAGCTGGCTTGGCCATTTCTCTACGGTGGACATGCCCAGTGTTGTTTGAAGACTTGACATAGTTTCCTTCATGGTACTCCTCGACCGCAACGATTGCGTTTTTCAGGATAGATAATATTTGTATCAGCTACAAAGGTTTAATTTTAAACCGACTCCAAAACTGTGAAAACATAGCAATCGGTACCAGTTCTACATTTAGTTATTATTCTAGTCGGAGCATTGAGGTGGGGAGCGAAACAATGAAAATTAGGTTAAAGCAATGTAAAAACAAGGCAAGGCAATCCTAATAAAGCTGGCCTTTAGCGCACAAAATTCAATTCCACAGATTCAAAAATTGCTATTAAATTGGAGGTGAAGGACCGGGCTAGTCATAGTACACTGTATGCCCGAACAATTCAAGTTCAAGGGCCAAATTCTCTATTTAGAGAATAATAGATTTGACTATACAATTGTACATGTTATAAATAGGGTTGGCTTGGCAACCGCCAAGTCATTATAATAATAATGCCGCCTGTATTTGTATTCGGGAACCAAGCCTTTTTGTATATGACGAATGGTAAACTACTCGTAGTGTGTAAACATGAGTGGCTAGCACTCACTATATGTTATGCACAAATTTTAGAAATGTATGTGCAAAAATGAATTACATTGAGGAATGGATAATCTATCTTAAAACCTTTCCTGAAGCTTATCACCATTTAGAAATATGATGCATACGCTTCAATGCAAAACAAGAACTATTTCATAAGTGATTAAGAATACAATCCATTGTGAACCATTCAGTATATCATGGTGAAATTATATCTCCAAAAGGAGTGCCAGTACATTTAAATTGACAAATAATGACCATCTGTGATACTTCAAAAAAGCGAAAGTTTCAAAGCCATCACAATTATACAAATATTACAATTTTGGAATTACAGGATTTGCGGATATGCTTTCGATTTCTCGATAAAATGACATGTAAATATACTAACTCATTGCACATTCGGGAAATCGTACGCCGGTTTTTTTTACGACTGATTGCACCTTCATGAAAATAGAATTATCATTTGTTAAATAGAAACAGGGATTTGAAACGCTTATTCTATTTCGTGCGAAAATGAATGCTTTTTACAAATTCATGTAAACATTTTTCAAAATTGTCCGGGAAAACATGCATAAACGTCATGTAGACGTGCGGTTCCGTGTGGGTATAGCCTACTGTTAATAGCCTAATGAGGTTGTCGTTGTTAGTTAGAACAACAAACCAATTACATGTAAAATAATGTCTATCCTGTATGAATACTTTCAATCATTTTACAACTTTCACAACTTCTTTAATCGCATATGTACATTGAGAGAATGTTCTTTGTTTATAAGTTGTCCCGAATATTTTAAAACGGTTATCATTCGAATTCACCGTTTCTGATATTCAACTTCGTCCACCAACATCGATTGAGTGCACTTTTAGTGTTTAATTTCGTATCTTGTCATACAATTTCAAATTCAGTTAAAGCAAATTCAAACAATGAGCACACGTTTTCTTCCCCGAGTATTCGATTTTGCCTCATCTATGCCAAATCTTGTTATTCAGAAATCAGAATCGTCTAATTGATTTAAATTAAAAAGAATTCGATCTCTGAATGCTGCCAAACGGCAGCAGCTTAGACGAATTTGATCTGTAATGAGGAATATTCTCGACCTGGTGACTAAAGAGGGTGACCAAACTTGAATTTGAATGCATGTTTTAAAATAGCAGCGAAAACCTATTCATGTATTTAAACCTGACTCAACATACTGAGAAATTACGTGAACACACTAGAGTTTGGAGGTTGCATTTTTAACATTAATTTTTAACATCGAGTCGAATGATTGCGATTTAGTGTAGAAAAACCGAATTGTAGCGATTTGGTCAAGAATAATAATACGAATAAATCCAGAATCTTCTAGAATGACCCAGAATTATGCCGATTTTATTACGAATTTGATAAGAACAAAGACCGAATAAGCCGAATGTAATGAAAACGTTCCCAAACAACCCATCAGAACAAGCCAGAATCATCCAGAACTAGGCCGAGTCCAGGCGATCCCGGTATGTAAACCGATCCAGACAAGCGCTCATCGTCCGTCAGTTCCAATTTGCCAAGCAGCGTAGATCTCCACCTCGTTTTATTTAAATCGGCGTGCATTCGAGATCTTCTTGATTCATTCGGGACTATTCTGTAACAAATCGTATTAAATTTTTCTTGATTCTTGGTCAGTCTTAATAGATTCGTAGGAAAATCTGGAAAATTCAGCATTATTTGTGATTCATTCATGCTAAGTTCTTAGATTTTTCTTATTTATTCTTAACAAAATCTTAGTGTATTCGTTAGTTATTCTTACTATATTCGTACATTTCTTGAAACATTCGTAATGATTCGGCATGATTCTGGACTGTTAACACCAAGAACAACTCTACGAAACTTTTCAAGAATACTGTAAGAATATCCATAATTAGTTAAATATACGACAAGAATAAACCAAGTATTAAAATTGGTTCCCGAATCACCCCGAAAATTTGAAAATGTCCAAAATTCTCGGGGTGCTTCCCGATCTTTAACGATCTTTCATCGAACTAACAGAATCATCCCGAGGCAGCAAAGAACCATTCCCCGATTTTCTCAAGAATTGCTTTTCGCGGCGATTCGGCTTAAAAAATCGGGAATGTGTGAACCTAACATTTACGGCGATAAACAGAGTCAAGAAACTGGGCCCTGGGAAACTAATCGGGCTGTATTCTTTGTATGGCTAAAACTGTTTCTCTACGAGAAAAAAAACCAAGAGAGCTTAACTACAAGGTGTTTATGATTAGAGGAAAAGCCCTGGGTTAGCATTAGCCAAACTTTACAACCGATTGTTTTCCCAATTGGTTTATTGTGGGTGTTTACGATGGAAATTCCATTCTCCATCTTACACCGGCCTTTGTAAGCCACCAACTGTTCACTGGACAAAAAAACCGTATTTTCCCTAAAATCTAGTTGAGTTTTTACCCTTTCAAAAAAGATAGTGATTTATTCTACCATGCAGTTATTGCAATCACAATATTTTTATGTACACGGATCTGTGGGCGTACGTTAATTTGTAACTTTGCTGGTATAAAAGTAACATAATGTAAAATGACAAAATCCATTTCAGTGTTTAACTTTTCAGAAAAACGCCATCAAAAAAGTGGTTTAACAAGCACTAATTGTAATCACATGATTTTTTTTAAAGGTACATACGCCATTATTTGTAGTTAATTTGTAACTTGAGGAGGAAAATTATCTGCAAAAATATGTATTTGGAGATAAACGGAGATATATGGAGAAAATAACCATGAGACATTTTCCCACGCCTTTCATTATTTAAATGATATGATAAGTAACATATAGTGCCACAGAGCAATTTACAATTCTAAAGTACGTTGCAAAAGGGATTTAATCAACCAGTGATTGTGGGAACTGTAGTTACACATGGATTAGGTTACGACGACGACAGCAACTCAAATCCTACTGGGCTGTGTCGTTCCAGTTCCTGCATATACGTTGATTCCGGCCTGTCTGTAATGCGTCTTGCTCGGCTAGTGTGGCGTGGCCTAATGTTGACCAGGTCCGGCTTCAAAAAACCTTCGCACAATTCGTTGCATCGGTGGTTCTGAAAGAACTTGATCATGCCGAGGACCCCAAGGTCGGTGGGGCCGAAGTAGTTGGGCCTGTCGCCGGCCGTCTGGCTGTGGATTGCTGGGTCGGTGAACACGTAGCCATGTTCCCAGCGCAATCCTTTCAGATCGCACACTAGGATTTGCCCGTTTGAAATGTGGAAGGTGAAGTGACTGAATGCTGACGGCAATGTGTCAAGTACTTCTTCGCCTTGGTACCCGGTGTTGCTCAGGAATCTGATGAACTCGCCCTCGAGGTACCTCTCGACTGCCACGGTTGATCCCGTGGGTATCATCACCTTGGAGGTAACCTTGGTTTCTGTAGTCTTACCTTTGACTCTCTTATGGATCGGAATGAATCCGAGCAGCTTGAAGGCGGACGAGTGGTCGATTTTCGAGATCTCGGGCTGGACGAACTCAATGGATTCGATAGTCGGGTACTTTTGTTTAAATGCCATGGCCATCTCTTGAGCTCTTTCCGACGCGCGGATATCGGCCCTGTAGGCCAACTCTCCCATTCTGTCGCACCACTCTTGTTTGTACAGTTTTACCACACACTTATTCCCCTCCACACGCCGATCACCATGGTAGGTGCCCCGGTAAGCTCGCCGTGAACGGCCCTCAGCAAACCAGTTGTCCTCGAACTCCACTCTCCTACGTGTCCCCTCGATAGGAAGGCATCTGTTACCCTGGTTATTGCCCATTCTGTCGCTTAGATATCACCTGAAATTATCCCATAAAAAGGACCATTAAAAGCAGCAGATTGTACATCTTTTACAAAAAAAACGTATCGATGGGCGATATGTGTATCTGTTATTCGCATAAGTCTTTAGTTAATTTACGAGTCATATGCATAAAACTCACAGTTTTGTCGAGATTCTGAGCTGAAACGTTGACGCCCGTTACAGCAATTTAACAATACTGTGCAGATGCAGATGTGTGAACCTTATGTCCGGTTTCCCAAGGAATGAAGCAGAATATTCATCCAGAATGTGAGGACTTTTATTACGTATCAATCCGCTCCGCACAGGGCGTGGCTTTTACAGTTTTGTTTGGTTATGCCCTTCGATTTCTTCGTTGCAAGGGTTTTGGATAATCTTTCTATATATTTGAATCGTAAACCAAGTTGTCCTTCAGTGCTAAAGCATCTTCGCACGTCATTGTGAAACATTTATTGTAACTATATTATTAATTGTGCGCGCATTGATATTCAATTAAGTGATGACGTCATACCATGGGAGTGTGGCAGGCATGCGGACTTGTTACTGGGGAAAGTTCATCAGGGGAATACACAACTATAAAAGGGTTGGGGACATCTAATAAAGACGCTGACATTTTTTTAAAATTTTTGGTGGAGAATCCGGGTAGGGAATATATTTGTTTTGATAGTCTAGAGATGATAGGCATTTTTTCAAAGGTTTGTTTTTTCTGTCATAGGTGGTCAGTTGAGATTAGTCAAGTAATAGAGTCTATAAATCAACACAGTGTCGTTATATTGGTGGATCGGACAAGTGCATGATGGTTAAAGTTTTGACTCCCCTTCAGCTCTGTGGGTTCGACCCTGTACCCGCTAAAACCTGCAACCTCGTCAATTTTGAAGCCACTGATGTGCAGCCTCAGTCAGAAATGCTCCGGCTACTGCAGCACCAGTCTAGTAGAGGTAATTCTGCAGCAATTTCGGCAAATCAACACCCTCAAAGAGATGATGAGGCAGGTGATAGGGGAACAGATGAGGCAGAGAGGCTACATTGAGAGTTTGGAGTGTGCCCTGCAAGGAAGGGAGACGCAGCATCAACCAGGAGTCTCTACCCTGCAGCCAGTTCCTGATGTCCATATATCCCCAGTCCAAGAGCCAGAATCCATGAGTTCTGAAGCACCAGTAGACCCAAGAAGTTGCCCAGAAGCAGCCCCTGTGAAAACCCCGACCAGTGGCCAATCAAGCCATGATGTAAATGGAGGCTTGACAGGTGGCCAAGGCCTACTAGAAGCCCAGCGGAGAGATGCGGCCATATGACAAGTGGTGAATGTGGAGCTGGCAAGTCCTAAGCGGATGAGTAGGAGCCAGATGGCCCGTCAGCCGAAGATGGTGAGGAAGTTGCTTCGTGTCTGGGAGCGCTTTGAAGTCAAAGGTGGACTCTTGGCCTACAGAAAGGGTGGAGACAACCCGCGCTTTCTGGTGGTTCTTCGACAGCTGCGAAGGACAGTGTTTCACAATCTGCACACCACCATGGAGACATCGAGCTACGGCAGAATGCTACGTCGTTGTTGTTGTTGTCATTGTTTATTTTATGTACTTGATTGTATTTTACTGAACATACAAAGCAGCTAAAATACTGGAAAGGTTCATAATTATAGATGTACATTGAATTGAAAATTCATAAGTCAGTGTAAATTTCAGTCGCATAATATATAGCTACAGTTTCTTTAGGTGTCGGGAAAAAAAGTACATGAATGTCCCCCAAAAATGGAAAATGGGACAAAATATTGATGAAAGTGCGTGTCTCTTAATTTATTTTTGCACAGTTCATGCATCGTCTGCGTTCAAAGTCTTTTGGTGGGTTATGTTCATCAGACTACCGATGTAAACTAACACATTAGGATTTATAACAGCAAAGTTCTGGGTCTTTTAATGTCTTTGTATCGCACAGCAGTGAACAGTTGACAATTTATACGCTAAATGGGGTTTTCCATAATGCTAAAAACGGCGAGGCACGATTGTAACGTCAGACCACTATCAGTGTTGACATTTTGCCTCTATTGGCTAGCCTAGATGCTGTTACTAGGCTAGCTTTGAGCTTGCCATCAACTCTTGTTGTTTCAGTTGTCAAAACTTCTTTCATTAGGTTCAAAGTCAAACTGAACAGGGATTTTCCCACCTTTTAACAGATGACATCGTATTCAAATATGAAGTGCAAATATACCTGGGTTGTGATTCACTTTGATCTTGCCCAGTCAATAGTTGGGACTAATATATTGTTTGTTTTATGGAAATGTATTATATTAATATAAGTATAGAAATATAAGTATGAAGAAATCTATTTCTATTCCATAATTATTAGTATATTAGTAATATAAGTACTGTTAGTTTGGTTTACCACAGACCTGACAAAAACATACGAGGAGCATTGGTTAAAGTTAGATTTTCATGTAAAACATAAGAGGAGCATTGGTTAAAGTAAGATTTTCATGTAAAATACAGCGATAACTATAAGCGTTAATTTAAAGTTGAAAGTAGCTTATAACGAAATATTTCATACTTTCACAAAACGTCTTGAATTCTTTTTTTGGTCATTCAATATTCTGGATGGTGTACATACTCGGTTTTTGTGTTGAATGGATAAGTTCATCGTACAGGGTGAGTCAAAAGACAAGTCACCGAGTTAGATAATAAAATTGTAACGTAACATAGGAATACAACTAAATGTTATTGACTGTTACTCTATTCACAAGTTATTTCCTATTTACCGATACGCATTGAACATACCTTTAAAATACAAAGAACCGTGGTGATTTTCCTATCTTCATGATTGAGAACCTTAATAACAAAACCAGACAAAAAATCGCTGTCATTATTTCAGGAAAAAGACTTGGTTTGTTCCTCATGTACAAATCACGAAATCTGATGGTAAATAATGTTTCAGTCCGGACTCAAGTTATTTAAATAACTTTAAACTAAAACGTATTTCATGGGTATTTGAATGCCTATCTTTTTTTGAATGAAAACCACTGTGAGCATTGCTCCTTTCGATCATTTGATACCAGTGGCCCACTTTTTGGACCGAAAATGATAGCTAAATACCTCCCCTGCAGTACTTAATACACAACAAAACAAAACTATTACTCATTTAAGCTTGTCCAAAGTTGTCTCCAAATAGGCATATACGTTTGTGCTTGGCATGCACATGTGGATATATATATCTTGATTTTAGCAGCACAAAATTCAATGCATTATTACTACACTAAAGCACAATACATCTACGAGCACTTCTGCTGTGTAATACGTTTGCAAACCACAGCTATAAATAGCTCAACTCCTCATACGTCCGCTCAACGAACTTTGCCCCATCACAATCGTTTGTCACAAAACACGCCACACGTCTGGTAAATGTTGTAGTTAATTTGTAACCTTAGAGGAATTACAACGATCTACCAAAACAATTATTGACAGAGAAAATGATTTTCATCATTAACATTTTAAACGAACATGTAATTACGTGCCAGAGAGGTGTTGCTGTTGAAAAAGTTTCAATTAGACAAGCTGCAATTAAATATGTACGTATCAAGAAAATGCTTGAATATTACAATTAATCAAACAAGGACAAACTATTGGTAAAAAGAGTTTCTCAAAAATTATTTTTTAAGCAGTTTAATGGTCGTTTGCTTGAATACATTTCAACCTCTTCTCATTTTCGTAAGACTAAAATTCAAACTGAACAGGGATTTCAAAACCACCTGTAACAGATGGTATCAAGACAAGTATTTGAATACGGAGAAGAAATATACCATAGACTTGTGATTCACTTTTGTGCCCAGCTAATAATTGACACAGATTAAATATTTTAGGTAACAAGTTTTAAAATTTATTGCAAATACATTTTTGTGTTTTAATTATCAGTTTTGTTTTACCAATATACCGACAAAAAACAGTTATTAAAGTTAAATATATTTATCCTGCGACGCACTGACTTTTTTTACACGAATGCACGAAGGGGCGCACGCGGAAGGCGTTTTATACTGGGGGTGAATAACTGTGTTTGGGGGTATAAATAGTTTTCTAATGATCCGATCAGATCAAAAGAAACCTATAATTACCCTAAGGGTATTTCTGGATCAGGATTGACCCCCAATGCTGTTCACATTTTTAGTAGCAGGGCCAGACAAAGGAAGGCATACAGTTTATTGATATAGAGATAAGCAAATGAGCTGGCTACACCATTATACCATTGAGGTATACACTAAGGTTTTTGTGCACAAGTCAACGGCTGATGGGAGAGACCATTTTTTGTAAGGGTTGGCCTACCCGGTGAATAAACTCCAGGGGGAAAATTGTTTAGCCACTCTTTTTAGCAAGAGTCAATGATAGTTGACACACAAATTTAGCCCCATAATTTTGGACTCACGCGTGCTCCCCTTCGTATCTTGTCCCAGGGTTAAACATCAATAATATATATAAAATGACGTTATCGTAATGTTGAAAGAATAACACATTTCATGCTTTGACAAAACGACTTAAATGTCATTTATTGTGTTTCATATCAAGCGTAATAAGGACATTCTTCAAATGTTGTTCAGTTTTACATGTTTTACAGTTCAGTTTTGATTGATACTACAGGTTTTCCTCCCCAAAAGGTCTTATACTATTTAATATAGGTATATTGCATGTGACTTTTTGAATATTTTCAAGTTACCTCCGAAAATCAGATTTACCTTACTACCATACAAATCTTTATTTCATTCAAATCGATGCTTTGGAACGAACGCTATGCTTCATCGAACTCAAGGGTTGTAAATCGCTCAAATTGTTCAAGAGTAACGTGCGACTTATTTTACTGGCTTCGATTTGTAAACTAGATAAACAAAAAAGGTGGCTCAAGTGGTTTTACAAGTCCCGTATTGTGATTGATAAAATCAAATAAAACAAACTAAAAAGCATTTAGACGACAAATTATTCTTCTCAGCAATACGTTAGACACGGTTGTGAATTCTGCCTCCACCTTTGTGAATACATGCCCTTTTCGACTGTTTTTGTGTGTGTGGGACAACCAGCCCTGATTTACAATTCGCTAAACAACCTGTTTTAAGACGTCTCATAGTGACAATTCGTGCAAATGCGTTGTTGATCTCCCCGGTGTAAGTGCTCTTGCTTGTCTACGGACACGTGAAGTCACGTCCGCCGGGTCCAGCCTCTGAAACCCCTCGCATAGATCACCGCATGTGTGGTTCTCGAAGAACTTGAGTATGCCGACATCTCCCAGATCGGCGGAACCGTAGTTGCCGGGGTCGATATGGCTATGGATAGCGGGGTCGGTGAACACGTAGCCTTGTTCACCGTGCACTCCTTTCAGATCGCACACCAGGATCTGCCCGCTGGAAGCTTGGTAGGTAAAGTGACTGAATGCTGCTGATACGGTGTCCTGGACACTCTCGTCTTGGTATGCGGTGTTGCTCAGGAAATGGATGAACTCACCTTTGAGGTATTTCTCGATCAATACCGTGTCCCCCTTAATGATCATCGCCGAAGAGGGAGCCCTCTCGTCCGCTTTCTTGCTTTTGACTTTCTTAGGGATCCTAAGAAATCCCAGGAACCTGAAGCCGGCCGAGGAGTTGATCCATGTGATCTCGAGCTTGTTGAACTCGATGGAGTAGCCGTTCATCATGTACTCTCTGTTGAATAGCTTGGCCATCTCTTGAGCTCTGTCCGTAGCCCGGATATCAGCTCTGTAGGCCATCTCTCCCAGCTTTTCGGACCACTGTTCTTTGTAGATTTTCACCACACACTCCTTTCCCGTCATATGCCTTTCGCCCTGGTAGGTGCCCCGGTAGACTCGTCTTGAACGGCCCTCAGCAAACCAGTTTTTCTCGAACACCACCCACTTATCCCTTCCCTCGATACGGAAGGATGTGTTGCTTTGATTATTGCCCATCCTGTCGCTAAGACTGTACCTGAAATTATCCAATAAATAGGTCCCATAAGAAGGCAGATTGAAAATCTCGGACAAAAACTAGCATCGATGGGCGACGTATGTATCTCTTATTAGTACAAACTGAGAGGTTTGTTTTTCCATTAGAATTACGCTCATTTAAAATGATGCATGATCCCTCATGTTAAAGTTCGCTTTTCGTAATGGTATGTAATTGGATGTCTTTAGTTAATGTTCAACCAAAAATAGACGTAAACTTACCGGGTTTTCTCGTGAAAACTTAGCTGAAGCGTTGATACCGGCTACTGCGGTTTAACAAGTAATGGGCATATGCAGGTATGCGATAACAAATCTCGGTTTGTCAACGACGCAAGGAAATTATAGTATAGTATTCATCCGCCATGTGATCTCTTTTAATTTGCATTCATTCGCGCAATTTCGACAATTGTTATTTTTTTCTAGTTTGTTTGGTTGAACGTTGTTTGTTTTTTATGCTTTTTAATTTCTGTGATAATGATTTACGTTGTTACGGTTTCAGATTACTTTATTGTACATTGTATTTGAGTTGTAAACGGCGTTGTCTTTCATTCTAAACACATTATGGAACGTCATTGTGAAACGTTTAATTGCAATGTAGACGGAACTATTTATTGAACTATATTATTACTTGTGCGCGCATTGATACTCAGATAAGAAAAGGCGTCATACCATGGAAGCAACCTTAACAATACAGCAGCTTCCATGTCACTGTTGATATTATATTCCCCAAATAACCCACGCAAATACACGACAAGTATATTCGCAATTCCGTATAGTGCCCCCTGGACAGGACGGTGTAAAGCCAATCCAGTGATGGCGTCCTCATGTCAAAGAACATATTTGTTCGTTCTCATAGTAAATCAAGAAAGTGGTGTGAAAGTTTTGTTGGGCACAATGGCTACACATACAAGCTTTGGCTGCCCGAACAGATACTTATACAGGATGAGTGAAAGATCCAAAACCTAAATTTTGGGACCATTGTTTTAGTGAAGTTCTGTATGTAGTACTTTCAAAGTCTAGGATATGAAAGTTCAGTTCATAAGCTGTCTTTCATTAGTGCTAGAATCATTCAAATCACTCATGTACTTTTCAAGTTACGGAATTGTAAATACAACCAATTTACGGCATGCAATTTTTGGAAAACGCAAAAAATACTAGGGTGAAAGAGCAGCTAGTGGAAGCGTGCTACTCGACGCCATTGGGACGAGGTTGGGTTGTAATGCCTAAATAATAGAGATCAGTGGTAAAGTTTGACCCTTAGCACCGACATTCCCGTGCAATGTCAGAATGATAAACATGTACACTGTTGCACGTATGGGGGCGCTGTTAAGATATCATTTGGGGGTATAAACAAACATTTTCAAAGTTTACGTGAAGCTTTCTTCACAAATTACATTTTTCTGTCTGAGTTTTTATTCTGAAATAAATTATAAAGTATTACTTAACCTGCATCAATGGACCAATATTAAGGCCTAAACGTCGTTACATTGTTTCCATTCATTAAAAAAATACTATTTTATTAAATACACTGGCACAAGTGAATGTAACAATGATGACACCGGAGGCAATGGAAACGTGTTGTAGGTATGAAATATCAAATAAGGTTTACTGAACTAATTCCGTTTGGCCATGTATGTAAATCTTTTAGAATTGTTCTAATTCATTTTAATCCGTAGTATGCAGAACGTTGCAAATTTTTTTAAACATTTTTTTTTGCGTAGGCGCACCTTATGCTTCTCATGTGTACGTTTGTGCTTCACTTGCATTTAAACTGTAAATTTGAGTCACACGAGACCCGGGCCCAATTTTACGGCGCTGCTAAGCACAACAATTTGCTGACAAAACAAAGTCTGGCTTATGAAAACGGGTCATCAGCAAACAACAGCTGAATATAAATCACGAGCAATATACATCACATGGAATTCTGGCTGGTAACCTTCTTTTATAAGCTAGACATTTGCGCTCAAGAAATCAAACAGGATAGATATTTTCCTCACCCAGCTAAAATTCACCGCATACGGGGATAGTTTGTAAGTTACGTACGTGCTGAGTAAACGGACTAGAATGACTTTTTGCTCAGCACGTAATTACTCTCGTGTGCGGCGGGATTTAGTCTCTTTGTCCACATTCCTGAGCACTTTGCTCAAATTTCATTTAGTGCAAGTGTATATCCTCTTCTTTTACTCCTTAAGTTAAATAATCTCATTAAACACGAATTACATAGAACTATAGGGAAATAATTCTTATCAAATACATTGTACGATCAATTTATACAATTCTGAACACGAAGGAACATTTGTTAACTCAAAATTGTGAGCATACGCTTATGCAGGTAAAAATTTAAGCATAAATCATTCGGCTAACCGCTTGCAATATGTCGTCTTGTCTTCAGTCGTGACGTTATATTGTATTGATGCGCGATCACTCGCCGAAAGACGATGCTATCAAAACAATACCGGTTCACAAAGACATCTAAATACTATGTTTTCTTTTTGCGATCAAGACAATCCCCCATAAATCCATTAGCTTTTAACAGGTCATGATTTATTAAATCTAACTTAAGCACTGCAGACCGTTCCAATAAAAGAAAAGGGAAGTCGTATACATTTATTTTGACAACCTTGCAACGTTTTTACAATCAACAACTAAAATACCAAACTCTTTTACTTATAATTCAGTACACCACCAGAAACTTTCACATGGTTTTTATTCTAAACGGTAATACAAATCTGTCAAAATACTCTACTTAATATAAAAGTCGAAAAATTACGCCTACATGAAAGCCTTTAACAATGAAATATATACATTGTTTTTCTGAGTTTCAAAGCTTACATTTTCACCCATTCTTCTATACAGGAACTAATCAAGATCCCTCATCAAACTCTACCTGGCTATTATAATGTTTACTTAACACTGAAACTCTCCACAAAATAGATATTATGCCCAACAGTCTTTTGATAAAAATGCCGCCCCTGTACTAAATACACCACAAAACAAAACCATTATACTTTTTGCTTGTACAAAATTTTCTGCAAATATAGGCTAGGCGTATGCTTTTGTGCTTGGCATGCACATGTAGATACATTTATATCATAGTTTCGGCAAAGAAGTCAAACCATAATTACTTCACTGAAGCACAAACATCAATGATTTATTCCTCTGTGTCATACTCTTGCATACGAACTACCTAACTGAACCCCACTTTCGTCCAACGAACGTTGCCCCATCACCATCATACATCTAGCTTTTAAGGATGAAATGATCGGTAAACAAGTTCATTGCAAAGAGAAAATGATTTTACAGTGGGTTATCTCTTCAATGCATTTACATTATTAAAATCAAAATATAATATGTAGAAAAGTGCCAGAGAAAGGTGTTGCTTAAAACAAAAAAAAACAATTACACAGTTAAATATTTATTGTAGTTAAATCTGTATATGTTACACAAAAACAATACAAATATTACTAAATGAAAAAAAAAAAAAAAACATTGTAAAAACAAACGTTTGAAGTAAATTTCTGTTTCCATAGTTCATGGGCGTTTGCACAAAACATGTTTTCGTATATATTTCATCAGACCATAATTGTAATTTCCTAATGAACTGGGTTGTGTCCATTGGTACTAGGGGAACTGTATTACAGCACAGGTCTAGTTTGCGTCTTTACTGGTATTGCACCGCACAGCAGTGGTGATGTGACAAATACGCTATATGATTTTTCATAAAGCTTGACGATGCACGAATGTAATGTCTGGTCGCTGTCAGTGTTGATGTTGACCTTTTCTTCACGTTTCCCATTGGCTGGTTTTCTTGGCCTGCCGTGCGTTACTAGGATAACTGTGACCTTTAAATGTCATCAGCTCTAGTTGTTAATTTGTTTAATTTTTCTTTCTTTTTCGTAAGGTTCAAAGTCTGTAGTGCAAAGGTTTTTTTTCTTATCTTGTTTGCCAGATGGCATCAATCATTTGAGTGTTATTCAGTAATATTACGGTATGTGTTCTGTGTCACTATGATCGTGCCAGATCAATAATGGAAACACATTAAATGCGCATTATTTTCAGAGAAATCTATGACAAAATACTTTTAGTCTTATAAAACCTACTCATTACTTGGTACTTGGTTAGTTTCCTCCTGAAACATACTCTAGGGATCTTGACTAGTTAATAGTATTATATAAAAAAGTAACTATTTTTAGAAATAATACTATTACAACTTAACCTAAAACATGTTATAATGATTCTCTACATTTAAAAAAAAAATCCTAAACAGGATGAGTAAATTAAAATTGCATCAAAGCTTCGCCATATTTGTGTCAGCAAAAGGAAGGGTATTCAAAAATAAGTAATAGTCCATTGTCACTGTGGCAGCCATTCAACCAAACATTTCATTTGATTTCAAAAAAGATGCAACTGCTCAGTGGGAGTGGAGGATATCCTCCTGCGCCACCCAAGCCCCCCCCCCAAAAAAAAATCCCCATCACTGCCTGTGAAACCTCAATAGTATCTAATAGCATGCAGTTTTGCTTCGCGGATGTACTATTGGATTTTCCACTTCAGCGACTTTATTGTATAAATACAGTGAACACCTTCGAACCAAATATATGAAGACCTTTTCAACCATATATTATTTTGTTAAAGCATCTGACATGCAAAAAGTATCATTCAAGAAGAAAGTCTGATAATTATGCGGATTCATTCAGAAAGTGATATTGCGCGCGTCGAAAACAATTCAAAATGTGAACAACATGGCCGCTGTAGGTCACGTGACAATGTGTTGCCCGATCAGGACGACCGTCACCCATTGATAGCAATGTTATTTAAAACAAAAATCTGGGCTGCAAGATTTAAACAAACACATTAGCCAAAATTCCTCGCCATCTCATGAAATATACTAACGGTAAACAAAATTTCCTACCGGCGGTAAAGCAGAGTCAAGAAACTGGGTCCTGGTTTAACACGACTGAAACTGATTAAGCAACAATTGTGTGGGTAAAACCGTTTCTCTACGAAAAAGAGCTTGAATGCAAGGCGCGCATGCACGATTGAAGGGAAAGCCGTGAGGTTAATACCATTAGCGATTTTTCCCCAATTTGCTCTTGGTATTTTAGATGAAAATTCCCTTCTTTAGCTCACACTGTTTACTACTGGACTTATAAACAAAGTCCAATCATTAAGCTTTTTTTGTTACATGCATCGTATTATATAAACAAAAAACAAGAATTTCAATTTCAATCGCAATATCTTGAATACATGTACACGAATCTGTGGTCGTATTTGTAGTTAATTTGTAACTTTGGAAGGATAAAAGCAACCTACTCAAAATAAGTTTTGCTTACATATACCTTATTTTGTAACCACAAAATGTAATTTACCTTGAATAAGTACCTGTTTCAGTTATTTACCTGTCAGGAAAAGGACATGCAATATAGACATGTAGTGGTTTTATCAAGCACTTATTGCAGTCAAGTATTATCTAAAGGCACACAGACATTAATTTGTAGAAAATGCTATTAATTTGTAACTTAAGAAGGATTAAAACTTTCTACAAATTACGTTCAGGGAGAGAGAGAGATTTCTTCCACGCCTTTTCATTATTTAAAGTATAAAATATGTAGCAGAGTGCTAGAGAGGTGTTTTTACTTCTAAAGTAGTATTAACTATACACAAGTACTTTTATCACCCAGTGATTGCATTAACCAGTATAGCAAAACATATGACCAAAACGGATTTCATAGTTATAAAATTTCTCATTGAATTGTACAACAGTATGTAACAAAGTGCCGTAGAAAAGTGCAATACCAGTGAAAAATGATTGGACAACCTGCAGGTTAATCCATTTTTCCCAGAACCTGCATACTGCATATTTTACAACATCACATTGCTTGAGATGTATCATAAATTGTACAAGTAGTATCATAACAAAGTGTGGTTGATTGCGACAGCTCAATCAAACTAGTCGGAGCGTTTAGTTCACGTTGGTTCTATTTGGAAACTGTGTTGCTCACGATATTGCTAATGATGATAACTCATATGTGGCTGTTTCGCATCGTCGAAGTAGTTCGCAATTAAACACTGTTGCATTGCTATCTCCAATGTGTCTTGCCAGGCTTTCGTGGCGTGGCATCACACTCTCCAGGACGGGCTGAAGAAACCGGCTGCATAAGTCGTTGCATTTGTGGTTTTGGAAGAACTTGATCATGCCGATGTCTCCCAGGTCGGTGGGGCCGAAGAAGCCGTACTGGAAGGCGGATATACTGCTGTGGATGGCGGGGTCGGTGAACACGTAGCCGTGGTCCTCACGAACTCCTTTCAGATCGCACACTAGGATTTTCCCGTGGGAATGGTGGAAGGTGAAGTGACTGAATGCTGCTGGCACTGCGCTCGGTACTGTCTCGTACCCGGAGTTGCTCAGAAAGCTGGTGAACTTGCCCCTGAGGTATTTCTCGATTGCTACGGTGTCCCCCTCAGGGATCATCTCCGTAGAAGTGTCTTTGGAGCTCGCCCGCTTGCCTTTGACTTTCTTATGGAACGGAATAAAGCCAAGGAACATGAAGGCGGAAGATGAGTTAATTTTCGAGATCTCCGGTTGGATGAACTCGATGGATTCGATAGATGGGTACATTTGGTTGAATGCCCTGGCCATCTCTTGAGCTCTTTCCGACGCGCGGATATCGGCCTTGTAAGCCAACTCTCCTATCCTTTCGCACCACACTTCTTTGTAGATTTTCACCACACATTTCTTCCCCTCCACGCGCCAATCGCCCTTATAGGTGCCCCGGTAAGCTCGCCGTGACCGGCCCTCAGCAAACCAGTCGTTCTCGAACTCCACCCACCTATTCGTTCCCTCGATAGGGTGGCAACTGTTGCTTTGATAACTGCCCATCCTGTCGCACAGATTTTGCCTATAAAATAATCATTACAAAGTGCCTATTAAAGACAGATTGTACATCTTGGACAAAAACACGAATGTGACACATCGTTTTTCCATTAAAATCACGTTCATTTCGAATGATAATCGCTCACGTTAAAGGTTGCATTTCTACACTTAATGATTTGTGAGTTGAAGTCTGTAGTTATTTAACGTGTAAAAAAACTTACGGTCTTCTTGTTCAAGCTGAGCTGAAACGTTGATAGCCGCTACAGCCGTTTAACAAGTAAGTCTAATGGGCATATGCAGGTGAGTAATCATAATTCTCGGTTTAGCAACGACGCAAGAAAATTAAAGCACAGTGTTCATCCGCCATGTGAGCTCTGTTACATTGTAGTTTGTACTCATCCGCTCAATGACTACGACTATCATTGTTTTCGGGTGGGGCGTGGCTTTTCAAGTTTTGTTTGGTTGTATGTTTTTATGCTTTTTTATTTCTGTGATAATGGTTTTCGTTGATGGGGTTTCTGACTACGTTTTCGAGTTGTAAACTACGTTGTCTTTCTGTCTTAAAACATTATGGCACGTCATTGTGAAACGTTTATTGCAATGTAGACGAAACTATTTGTGGAACTATATTATTACTTGTGCGCGCATTGATACTCAGATAACAGAAGACGTCATGCCATGGAAGCGACCTTTACAATACAGCAGCTTCCATGTCACTGTTGATATTATAATCCCAAATAACCCACGCAAATACACGATAAGTTTATTCGCAATTCTGTATAGTACCCCCTGGTTAGGGCGGTGTAAAGCCAATCCAGTGATGGCGTCCTCATGTCAAAGAACATATTCGTTCGTTCTCATAGTAAATCAAGAAAGTGGTATGAAAGTTCTGTTGGGCAGAAGGGCTACACATACAAGCTTTGGCTGCCCGAACACTGATACTTATACTTGGGTGTGTAAAAAAAACCCCGAAACCCTAATTTTGGGACCATTGTTTTGGTGAAGTTCTGTATGTAGCACTTTCAAAGTCTAGGATATGAAAGTTCAGTTCATAAGCTGTCTTTCATTAGTGCTAGAATCATTCAAATCACTCATGTACTTTTCAAGTTACGGAATTGTAAATACAACCTATTTACGGCATGCAATTTTTGGAAAACGCAAAAAATACTAGGGTGAAAGAGCAGCTAGTGGAAGCGTGCTACTCGACGCCATGGGGACGAGGTTGGGTTGTAATGCGTAGATGATAGAGATCAGTGGTAAAGTTTGACCCTTGGCACCGACATTCCCGTGCAATGTCAAAATGATAAACATGTACACTGTTGCACGTATGGGGGCGCTGTTAAGATATCATTTGGGGGTATAAACAAACAGTTTCAAAGTTTACGTGAAGTATTCTTCACAAATTACATTTTTCGGTCTGAGTTTTTATTCTGAAATAAATTATAAAGTATTACTTAACCTGCATCAATGGACCAATATTAAGGCCTAAACGTCGTTACATTGCTTCCATTCATTAAAAAAGTACTATTTTATTAGTTACACTGGCACAAGTGAATGTAATAATGATGACATCGGAAGCAATGGAAACATGTTGTCGGTATGAAATATCTAATAAGGTTTACTGAACTAATTCCGTTTGGCCATGTATGTAAATCTTTTAGAATTGTTCTAATTCATTTTAATCCGTAGTATGCAGAACGTTGTATATTTTTTAAAGCATATTTTTTGCGTAGGCACACCTTATACCTCTCATGTGTATGTTTGTGCTTCACTTGCATATAAACTGTAAATTTGAGTCACACGAGACCTGGGCCCAATTTTACGGCGCTGCTAAGCACAACAATTTGCTGAGAACAGAGCAAAGTCTGGCTTATAAAAGCTGGCCATCAGCAAAAACTCCATGTGATTTTCAAGCTAAGCAAACAACAGCTGAATTTAAATCGCTAGCAATATACATCACATAGAATTTTGGCTGGTATACTGCTTTAAAAGCTAGACATTTGCGCTCAGGAAATTTTGTGCTTAGCAGCGCCGTGAAATTGGCCCCTGATCCCATTACTAGGTACAACCATCTTTTTTTAGGCGGTTTTTAAATGTGTGCATTCGATTTTGAATCGACAGTTTTTAGCCTTTGTTAACATGTTACTAATTCTGAATCAGTCTATGTAAAGACTGTTAATTATCCAGTATTGTTTAGTTGGACTGTGTATTATCTTGTTTTGCCTTGAAACAAGAGTTTTCATTTTATTCCTTTAGTAACGGATGTGGGGTCGCGACTCCCTCGTTCAGCCCCTTACGAAGGTTATGTAACTAGTAATATGGGGCCAAAATACATAAATGGATTGCTAAAGTTCCGTATTAAATTTGTCCCCCCCCCCCTCACCACCTCTTTAGCACCGCCCCCACTTCCTAAAAGCTAGATCCACCCCTGCCTAATTCCCTTCTGAAAAGATGTTGTTAAATTTCTCTCCGTTTTAAAACATCATTTGTATCCATTTTCTGTGTATTATTATTCAGAGCGTCAAATTGAAATTACAATAAATTCTTAGATTGGTCTATTGAAACATATACGAACCTTCAAAGTTGTTTCTTTAAACTAACTTACCCCAAACATTGATGAGCATTGTCTTTATATCAAAGCCCTACTGGAACATTTCCGCGTTGGTGAGTTTGATTTTTGTTGCCGGATCTAGGCCTGTTTTCATCTACCTATATTTTCAGGAAAAAAAACAAATGAAACGCCTTTCCCAACCTAACTGTTGCTTGGTGTTGATCTCCCTTTCATGATGCGCTTTGTGCAGCTTTGTGTGCAATGCAGGTCGCAGTTCAAAATCTGCAAATTAAACAAAGTTCACGATTTGCCCGACTACCCAAAGTCTTTATGTTGCTTGGTGATGGTGTTTCTTTCAGGATACGCTTTGTGCATCCATACCGTGTGTGCAATGCGGGTTGCAGTTCGCCATCTGCAAATAAACAAAGTTCACTATTTGCCCAAGCTACTCAAATCTTTATCTACGTCAGTGGAAACCCGGACATACAAAAATGTCCATCAAACGGATTATCGTCTACACAGCTGCCCAGATACCACGGATATTTGCGGATTTCAAAGATTGCTCACAAACAATGTTCCATTTATTACATTGTATTAAGATGTATACATTTTGTTACAATGTATACTTACTTACAGAGTGGTGAACTCGAATTTGATATTGTGACAACATTGGACAGGACAAATCATAAAGCAACTATTATCACATGTTGTCGTTGAAATACTTTAATTCTGGAAAAATCTGCGTCTGTGTTGTATAGCTATTTAAACAGGCAAAAAATAAGTAATACCCCTCCTGGGTAAATGGCTCCCCTGTACAGTAACCAGATAGATTTAACTGTTCTTATAGTAAATCCGGGTTAATTGATAACTGGTAGTTCATCCAGTTTATAAGGGGGTTGGAATTCCAAAACCCGTGTCAAAAGTAGAAAACGTGCAGGAAAGAGCAATATCCTGGTCCGTCTGCAAGATGGGTGGTTTGCTTCAGGCTCTGCTAGTTATAGTCTTTCTTCAAGGATGCCACTGTGGGGAGGTCCACTCGTCCCATGTCAGAGATTTAACTTTATCTGTGAAGGCGGCTGAAAACGAGTCTCAGGTCAGTGCCAAGGATCTGAAATACCATTGTGCATGAACATTGGTTTTTCCGAGTTTTATCTCGATATATCCTGATCCTTGTGTCGAAACACATTATATGAAATATTGTTGGGACAGGCAAACCTAAAATCTCCAAAACGTAAGCTTCTCACTATAAAAGACATTCAGTGCTTTACCCGTTACTATTATATTTAATTGAACCGGCCTGCTGACTAAGCACTGTTAATAGCACGGTGTCGAGTGGCAATCCAACCTGTGTAAACTTTGTCTTTGTCTAGCAAACCCTTGAATAGCATAGAGTACACAGTATTTTTTTTGTATAAACACAACGCCAGTAGAGGCAAAGTCCATAACCAAATATTGGTGAACCCGCTCTGAAAAATAAATAGTCTGATGTCGCATAATTTGAATTCAAGCTTTTGAGATTTTGAAATAGAAACAGTGAAAATTTGATCAAATTTAGATTTGTTGGTTTTGTTTTAGTTTGGTTGTTTGGTAGTTTTAGTTTAAATGTCTTTAAAAAAATGTTCAAAAAAAGAATAAAATGTGGATTGTTGGTGATTTTTTTTGGTTAGTTACAGTATATTTGTCATTTTTCAAGCCCTGTTTTCTCCATTGAGACTTTTCTAGTTTTTGTGGAAATTGATAGAATGAAAAAAGCACAACAAAGCAGCCAAATGTCTTAGAGAGATCCATGACATACCAAGTGAAAGCTTATTTCATTCTCATTTCATTAACGTAGTTACCTCCAAACGTGAGTTTTGCAATATCTGACTCATTTTTGGCAGAGCGGGTCACATTTAAACATTTCTTTCCACGGGACACTGTTGATGTTTCACCTGGTCAGCATGATGAACAACCCGCCATTAAGTCACTGCAGTGCTCAGACTCTGGTAAGCTTCTTTTTCTCTTCAATTCAGATTATTGTTTTTGTCAATTGCCTTACCCAAACTACGGTGTATAGTTAAAACATCCCTTCTACTATTCTACTCTCATTCCATCGGAGAGTACCAGCTCTTTAACACTACCCCCTATACATACAGCTAGCCATTACCCCCATCACACCGGAGGTGCGGTGCCACTGCGGTGCTTGTACGGCATAAACCGCAGTGGCACCGCCATGATCGCCGTGGTTCCGCAGTGGTTCCGTCATTGATCGCCGTAGCACCGCGGATAAGTGTCAAAACCGCGGACCTTCGCGGTGGCCGGGCACGGCGTAAACTTTGAACATGTTCAAAACTTCCGCAGTGCCACCGCGGGTTGGGCAAATCTGCAGTGGGATCGCCGCGGCACTGCCATGACCGCCGTGGCACCGTACAAGGACTGCAGTAGGACCTCTATCACCGCCGTGCCTCTGCAGTACAACCGCCGTACAATCGCGAAGGTCCGCGGTTTTAACAGTTTTCCGCGGTGCTACGGCGATCAATGACGGAACCACTGCGGAACCACTGCGGAACTACGGCGATCATGGCGGTGCCACTGCAGTTTATGCCGTACAAGCACCGTAGTGGCACCGCACCTCCGGTGTGACGGGGGTATGACGGGTAGGGGAAAACTATGAAAAACTATACTGCCGGTGTCACCACGGTGATGTCGGTTTTGACCAAAAACCGCAGTGGCACCGCGCCTCCGGTGTGACGGGGGTATAAGTAAGAAATATGTGTCGTTGTACCGAAGGATACGGGCACCGCAATTCAGGTGGCTGAATTCGAGCCCATAAACTGAAGAATTATGTCTAAGGTCGCTTTACAGGACGGTGAGACTGTAGCACACATTGTACTATAACAAAAACCTGACTACACTTTGTGATATGATAAGGTTGCAATATACAGTTAATAAGATGGATGACGTTGCACAAAATTGGACAAAAATGTATCTTTTTTTCTCATAAGCAAGGTCAGTGGTGGGTAAGATTTTTTTTTTCTATATCAGATAAGTCAGATAAAGAACATTTGTTCAATTCCCTGCTTTTTCCCTGCATCTTTGACTTTAATGTTAAATTTATTTTGATTGATATTGGCCTAGCATCCTCTCCTGTTATTGTGGAGACCTGGCCCGATCCAGCAGTCACCAGAATTCCCACCTTCGCCGATTGGACTTTCCATTTCAAATTCAACCAAAACGTGAGTGTGAATACTGATCCTTCTATAATATCCATATTTTCGAGCAGAAAGAGCGCTGTAATGGGCGACGCCAGGAATGTCGGGGGGGGGGGGGGTGGTTGGAGCAAAGCACTTTTCCCCCCAAATCGTTATACTTTCTCTAGCATGTTCTCAGTTTATTTATATTTTTTCGAGGATGGGTGGGGTAAATTGGCCCACCCCAACCCACTAACACCCCTGCAGACGTCCATTTTGTTAAATGTGTATTACATAATAGCAAACAATTATGACTTCACCGCTCCTCTTCCTTCCCCCCCCCCCCCTTTTGGGATGCTTTCCGTGGGGAGTCTCTCCCCCCTTGCCCCCCCCCCCTTCTTGACAGAAACAATAGAAATATCTTCTTAATTGAAGCATTTAAAAGATGAAGTTGTTTGAAAAGATTATTGTCAAAAAACTTTCGATATAGCAATTTTGCGTCAGTCACGTCTTTTGTAACCGTCAAATGGGCGTCAGCACAGTATTTGTAATCATTTTTTGGGGGGGACTTTTGTTGAAAACATAGCGCACTCTGCACAAGATACAATGGCATAATCGGGACATAATTTCAATGAAAATGCCCCGTGTAGAAGGCTTCCACGTGATCGCAAAGGTGGCGGCATCCGACAAACGGTGCATATACTTGAACATATCATTGAACAGTGTGTTGCGAACGAATGTACGCAGAACTAAGTGTGTTAAGCTCGCTGCACACGAGAGCTACGTGCCTAGCAAAAAGTCATTCGAGGCAAACAGATAGACATTTGCCTCACGGCCTCGAGAGGCAGAAAACTCAGTAAAATTTTACCGCACACGGTGAGCTACGCTGCTGAGCAAACGGTCTCGAATGACTTTATGCTCATCACATAGCACTCGTGTGCGGCGAGCTTTACGGAGATAAGTGAGTTCTGTCATAATCCATATTGTGAAAAATTGAATGGAATTCCACACACAGGTGAATAGAGCGACCAGACCTGTTTTGTCAAGGTTTACTACAGGGTCGGCGCTTGGGTATTTTCAATCGACGCCTCCGCTGGTGACAACGTTCATTTCCCTGCCCCAGACACAATGCAAGTTGTTGTACCCGCGAACATGAAAGCGCTGCTAGCTGGAGGGCAAGTGTTTCATGTGCTGTTGGATGAGGGCATAGTGACCGGTCCTGGGCCATGCTATGTTCCATCAGCTGCCGTTACGGACCCCAATTTCTACAAAGTATTGTACAGTGGCTTGCCAGATCGTAAGAACATTACACCATTTGTAGAAGTAGGCTTATATCGGTTTATTTTTGACAAGAGTGAAGTGGGGAGGAATCGGTTATGTGCAATAAATATAGTTTATGAATTGGTGTCCATGTGCATGTAAATTGCACGAGGCTTATTCTTGACTTAACTGCATGTATACTTAAGGTTGCTTAACCACTCAACCTCTCCAAAATGATCAGCTCCTTTAGTTTTTTGCTTGATATGATTTTTTTCAAAGACTTCTTTTTTCCAAAATCTAGTTAACAAGAATGAATTGTGTTTATCTTTATATTAAGTCGCACCATTTTGTGGCGCTTTTGATAACGAAATAATGTTGTTTTCTGTACTCCCGTAGGATACTACGATACTCCGTACTACACAACTCCAGCGCCACCATCAAGTTGCTCTGACACAGGTAAGATACGACTGCTTGTAACACTGTAAGCTCGCGAAGGGCGCCCTCACTGTTGACATGTTTTGATTATTTAAATCAATCGGGTACAATGGAAGTACTAAGACTTGACTACTCATGCGTAACTGCGTTAGAGGAACACTTTGACACGTTTGTTACGTTTTATCCTTACGACTACTTTTTCTTCATATTGTTCGAAAACGATTTTGGCCCAAAGACTAAAGCAACGTGTCATGAAAAAAATTTTTTTAAGAGACTACCAGCTTATGCTTTACTCTAATTACGCTATTAAACAAATCTAAGTAAATACAACGGCCTTCTGTGTCTGATACAGTGCTAAGAAAATTGACTTAAAATGTAATCCTACCAAAAGTAAATGATGCCAAGAATATGTCTTATAATTATGGGATTCAAACTGTATTTTTGGATGACTGTTGGAAGCTGTGAAATAATTTCCTTTACAGAACGTCCCACTGTCATTCAGTCTTGGCCAGCTGATGGATTTTACTCTTCACTCAGCATAGCTAAACTAACCCTCAAGTATGATCGAGAGGTTAGTATCAAATTGGATTACAGGTAACAATTAACTTTTGTTTGCATTAATTGGGGATGTAAAATTGAAAGTTTGGTGATTTCGCATTTTTGTTTTGTGCGGCGATTAATTGTGCAAAACAAGACTCCGCCATGATCTCCAGATCCTAACCATTCAGCGAGCGCCTTCTATCGAGTCTTCGGTGACCCGTTGTTTTGTTACCAAAGAGCGTGGCAGCTCAAGTGCAAATCAACAGCTTGGACCGAATGTTTGCTCGAAACTAAGTCACAATTTGTAAAGTTAACACCAAATGGCTGCTTACCCGGATAGCATTAAATTTACATGTTCATATCAGGCGTTCTGTGCATACGTGAATATCTGAGACTATCTGAGGCCTGCTTACCAGTGCAATTTCCTGCAAATTAGCAGTTGGCACTGCACTTGATGCTCTTGATGGAATTCCCATTACACGTATTTGACACCATATAAAAGATTAATGACGAGTAGTAATTCATATTTTCCGGAGCCACATTTTACTAGAAGAAAGAAAGATACTAAGTCTTACTACTAGTACGTAATTTAACTATTGTTTGTAGACGAGCCATCTGTCCAACAAATGTGTCCTTTAAATAACTACTTGAATTTGTAATTGTTAATTGGTTTTTGTTACATACTATCGGGTTATGATTTTGAAGAATACGTTTAAATAACTCAACCATTAACATTCTTTAACCATCGCTGTATCTAATAATTCTAATGCTGGAAAGTTGTGCCCTTAATGAACCTAATAAGTCAAAAGTGATCTACTGAATTGCCACTCAATCAGTACAAATTGATTGTTCCCATAGTTTTTTGCTAACATACTGAGGATCGTGCATTTTGGTGTTTTTTTCTTCCAAATATTCATTAGGTCACGGTGGCTCAGAGCCTAACAGGTGTTTACATATACAGACGACATGCTTGGCAGTCTGCCCAGAACTGCGACATTGTCCAGACGGCTGTAGACACAATAGAAACAGACTGTTATTCGTCGATGAATTTGGATCTACATGATTTGGATGGTAATGGAGTGTTTACCATTATAATGGCTGAGGATGTAGTGACTGGTCCTGCCCCTTGTAATGCTTCTTCTGGTTGGCTTGCTATCACACTGTACACCGGCTCACCACCAGGTAGGTATCTGTTTTACACTTGACTGCTGTGGTGTGGAACATTTTTTTATATTTTTTTTTAATTCTTTGGCCTCTCTGGTGATAAACTGCCATGTCACATTGCGTGTATAGCAGTCAACAGTTGTATTCTGATACCATGTGATGGTGTCCACCTGCCTTGCTTTGTTGGATTTGTCAAAAACAACAAAATCTGTATGTAATGTTACTACTGTAGATTCTTTAGTACTTCTTCAGGGAAAATAATCCGCTCTTCGTAGATTTGGAATAGTTCTGCTACCTAATACAAGCCATGAGAATTCATAACATCACACGTTATCTACACGATTTTTTATGGGAGTTATAGTAAGTGCAACATTCTTTCCTATATTCCATAAGTAAATGCATATAAATACAGCTTGACGTCATCACATAATTATCCAGGCGGTCGACATGTTTAAGTTTTTTGAATAGGCAATTCGGAAAAATAACATGGGGAACATACAGACGTAAAAAGGCATCCACATAAGTTTATTTGTTGCCATGGCATAAACGCACTCCTGCAGTTTGATTATGATCTAAATTTAGATGACAGCTGGACAGTGTGATAATTAAAAAAAAAATGGGATGAAATGACTAATAAAGGCGTTGTGTTTTCTGCATCATTTTGACACAGCTACTGATGGGGCCCCAACATACGCATACATCACCGAGCAGTTTGGAGACTGGACGACGCGTGACAACCCAGGCTTCCAGCCAACAACCGAATATTGGCCAACAACCCAGGAAGGTGTAGTATACTCAACTTCCATGATATGCAGGACAAAAGTTTTTAACTCGCCCACCTATGTATATAACACTCTGGTAACTTGTTGGACTCAACTTCCAATAGTCAGTTGGCGTAGATTGAATGTTCGACAACATTCTGACTGACTGGTCCAAAGCATCAAACTTGGCAGATAGATTCTTATAGTGAAGACTATAACTCATAGGAAGGTTGTGAAAACTACTAAACTTCCAAAACAATACACGACAGAACAAACTATTAACTCACCCACCTACCCATACACTGTAAGTTGGTTAAAACACTGTTGTATAGCCAGTGTTGTTGACCCAACATTGGTATGAAATTACATTATTGTTGGTTTATGTGGGTAACAATTTACCAACTAGTATGGCTTCATTGGGAGAATCGTATATTCCAAATCAACCTTTAGACCATTAACTTTTATAATCATCATTAACATACTCAAAAGTGTAGTTTGTCACTCATGTCAGATGATTATTTTCTACAATTTAGCACATCTTAATTGGGTTTACTACATACCTACAATAAAACGGGGACATTTATGTTAAAATAACATACTTGTAAAGTTGTATCAGACTTGTATGAAAACGAACAGGGATATTAAAATTCTGTGAAATGTTGGACGGTTATGTTGCTCATGCAAGGTTGAGAACAAAATCAATTCTTGCCATGTTTCGGGACGCCATGTGGTGTTAGACTTATGTTGCATGTTTATCACAATGCCTAAATATGTAGAAATTTCATGATCTCATTTATTACACAAGTTAATAACTACCAGTTAATTTATTTTCTAAATAACCTCGTTATGTAGTTACAGAATCACCGTATAGAGTGCCAGCAACAACTCCATGGCCGGACTGTGCAGGTTTGGGTAAGAGGGTTTTTCCCTTCTAATTTTACAGTTGGTTATCAGATGTCCTAGCGTTTGATTCCCAGCTCCATTTACTTCAAATTTGGGAAACAATCAATATCTTATTTCTTTGTTTCCCTTGATCGCAGGCCCTTAAAAAATTCTAACGAAATCGTATGCACTAACCTTAGGTCTTAGAAACCATATTCCTTCACAGAACTCTGAAATCTGATTAAATGGAATGACATTCTCTCTGATTGAATTAACAAATTGCAAAAATGCAAAATCGGAAAACCTATATTACAGCCCAGAATCTGACCCTCACAGGGGTTGGACTGTCAATACAATAAATTCTGAATAGTTTAAGATGGCAAGCATGCAATTATACATTCTTTTATACCGTCAAGCAAAAACTGTTCACGTGGCATTAACAGCTGAACCCAGCTATACACCCCTCCAACATGAACAACAGTACCAGTAGCTCTTCTCTTCCGTGTCTGTATGTGTGAATGTCATAACTTAAAATTATCACATTCGGTACATCTTTCAATTCAGATACCTCTTATCACTTAGCCTCGAGTCATTACTGTGTCGGCATGTCAGTTGTACCCATATTAATACCTAAGTTATTGATTGATGTTTCTATAGCATATCCTGCTGTCGTTGAGGCCTGGGCTGACGCTACAGTCAGCCCCTATTATAGCTGGATCTGGAATTTCAGATTTGATCAACATGTGAGTATACTAGCCAACGAGGTAGTCATGCTAAAGTGTGTGAGCATAGATGATGTATCATGTTCCATGGTTCAATTAATCATTTCAAAGCTTTTATTTTTGTTTATTTATGCCTGTCTGCAGCGATGCAAATAAGGTAGTAATAACTTAAAAGTTCAAGAACTTCCCTATACAATGGAACAGAGATGTGGAGTCCATCGATCACAAATCCATCACAAGTCTTCCAGTCCCAATACAGATCAAAAGCTATTTAAATGGGCTTTGACAAAGGCATTCCTTTGTTGTTGTTTATCTGTTATTTCTTGTGACTGGACTTGTTCACTGGACTTGTGAATTACTTGCGACTGGACTTGTGATGGACTTGTGATTTACTCGACATCCCAGCGACGGAACCACTCTGAGAATGCCCATTAAGGTTAAAACTTTCACATACTAGTTATGAACCATTGTTTTTGGATTACCTTTGTTTTGATAAACCCTGTATGTAATTTGAGGCCAAGAGGTTTGTACGTACAATGGTAAATGACTTACTTGAAAGAATATGAACTCACTGCCATTGAAATTCAAATTGCAGATAACCAAGGCAACAGGCTCCAGTTGGGTCTATGCTAATTTCTACGAAAGCAGCGGACAGTTTAGATTAGGAATCCCCACCCGGGTTACTTACAACGTCCGATTTCCAGCTCCCGACACGCTGCAAGTTATAGTCCATGATCAACCACCTTATATGCCAAGTTACCTGCCCATAGGACAGGAATATTATGTCCTACTTGATGAAGGTGCAGTAAATGGCGCAGCTCCATGCTATTTACTGATGAGGTCCCAATATACACCAGTCATGTACTTGAGGATTCAACCACATCATCGGAATCTGACAACCCTACCAAACAGCCTACAGAATTCACAACAGAGGAGATCGGATGGTCTACCCACCAACCCCGAGTGACTCAACCACCCCTCTTGCCATCAATGGACTGCTCCGATTCTGGCATGACGGTCTTCATCCCCCGCTCTGTGATTGGCGATGCCCTGTCGTCTCATTTGCATTTTCTTGACCCGGCGTGCGTCGGTAGTCATCATAACACCAGCCACGTTAAGATTGCAACAACTTACGACCGATGTGGAACTTTCATGGAGGTATATTCTAAAATATTATTCTGACTTCTTATTTTTTTGTACAGCTTTCATTTTAGTTCTTAACGTGCCTTTGTGAAAGTTTACTGCAAAAGTTTACCTAAAAGTTGAACAAAGAAATTGACTGTAGCGGTTTTGAACCAGCGACCTCCTGATTGCCACTCCGGTGCTCTACCAACTAAGATATCCAGCCTTTTGTTGGTGGTCGATTTCTTTGTGCAACGCATTTAAACAATGTTACAACGCAACAATTGTTGGCTTCATGTTGTGGTCTTTTTGAAAGTTTGGCATATACAAACTGTGAGGTCAGTGATATATACATTGTTTGCTGCAATTGTCAGGATTAGCTGAAGAAAATACCTTGAAATAAATATACCAAGGTTTCATGATTCTATTTTGAAACGTGCGTTAAAACGTTTCCTTGTGGTTTGTTTGCAACATTACTTGTTTTCGTTTGTTTTCTGGCAGGTTCATGGAGACAGTGTGATTTTTTTCAACGTCATTCACGATGAGGCTGTCCCTGTCGAACCAGGCAGTGTTATAACCCGAGACCGAGATATCGAGATTCCAGTACAGTGCATCATAGATTTGGAAGGGTTCGCTGAAATAAGGTGGGTCTGGGCGAAGTATGCTGGGTTAGAACCCACGACTGATAGACTGAGAGATTGAGATTTCTGTCCAGTGCATAATGGACGTAGAAGCAGTGTTGTAGTCGAGTCCATCACAAGTCCATTCACAGGTACAGTCACAAGTAACTGGGTGAACAATGAAAAAGGAATTTTTTTAACAGTTCATTTGAATGACTAGTGACTTGACTTTATAAGCCTGAAGGACTTGTGATGGACTTGTGATGGACTTGTGATGGACTCGACTACAACATTGCTTAGAAGCTAGCTTTTGTTGGATGCTAGAGGGTATACCTTGAGACCAGGATATTGGGATTCCGGTGTAGTGCATCACGGACATTGAACGAAAACCGTTGTGGGTTGTGAGTGGAATGAAACCTGGTTACATTTAACCTGATACCTAGATGTTAGGATTGCAATCGATGCATCATGGATGTTGAACGGACTGCAGAGCTGGGACGGATTGGAGGTACCCATAAGACCATAGGTCAAATGTACAGTGGACAATGCATAGATTGCAGGACTTGGATTGAGTTGGAAGGAAGGACATAGGCCAGGAAATAACCAGAGACAAGATATTGATATTCTGTCCAGTGAGTCATGAACATTGAAGGGATTTCAAGTTGGATGGAAATAAGCAAGGGTCTAACCTGATACCTGTAATAACCCTCATTATATTATTTAAAGGCTTCAATGATGAGCCACTATTATTCTAGTTAAATGCTTCAATCACAGCAAGCTCACATGTGTTGTATTATGCATCCAACATGGCACATATGCATCAGAACAGCAGAAATCGTGTCTGTGTTTTATTCAGTCTGAGATCGGATTATTATAAAGCATTGGACATTACATTGGCGACGAGGATAAACAGAAAAAACCTCTGATGTCTGGGTAAGCAACTGAATACCTAGTAAAGCAGAAACTTATGCAGAAAAAGGAGTGAATTTGTGGTGAAAATTGACATTGACATCGTGTACTTTTGGTGTAGTAACAGCATGGCCACGGGATCAGGACAGCAACCTGTACCGATAACTGTTGTAACTGAAACCAGAAACTTGAAGAGTCAACCATTTACTCACCCTGATGACCAAATATCAACTGGAAACGCTTGGGAAGAATGGCTAGAGGGCATAGAGAGAGAATTTCGCTACTTCAAAATTAGCAGCCCCATCGACAAAAAGGATGCCCTGATCATTTATGGTGGCAAAGAAATCGCCAGACTGGAGAAAAGCTTACCCAATCCAGGGGATGTGGATGATGTTTATGAGAAACTGAAGACAAAACTAAACAGTTACTATACCCCAAAGAAAAATAAACATCATGCCAGATACCTGTTCCTGAAGATGAGACCCACACCCCAAGAAACCACCATGGCTTATGCAGCTAGGCTAAGGGAAAAGGCCATTCAATGTGAGTTTGGAGACACTCGTGATGACCGAATTCTAGAGCACCTGGTCCAAACCATAACAAGCAAATCCCTCATCCAGAAAGCCATTAACAAGAAGTGGTCGCTGACACAAATGTTAACAGAGGCCGCACAGATAGAGGATACGTCCTTGCAGATAAGCAGCATGAGACCCCCTGATGACGGAGCAAGCAATGTGGCCAAGGTGGGATATCAGCAATCATCACGACAGAAGAAATCCACCGGTGGGCATTATGGAAAGCCCAAATTCCATAAATCACCACCGTGCGCATACTGTGGACTGACCGGCACCCACCCACAAGGCAAAAACTGCCCGGCCTACGGCAAGAAATGCAACAAATGCCAGAAGTGGAATCACTTTGCATCCGTTTGCCGAGCCGACCGACTCCGGGCAGAAAGCAGAGGCCCGCCCAGTCAGCCTGTTCCCCCCAAAATATGCCAAACCCAAGCAGCGTGGGAATCACGTAAAGAAGACGAGCATGGAAGAAGACGATCAAACTTCTTCTGATGACGAATTCTTTGACCAGGCAGTCAAACACCTGAAGCAAGTGCGGAGAATCGCAAAAACCGTCCATGACGACAGCACAGTCACAGTCCGCATTGACGACGTTGATGTACGGATTGAGCCAGACAGCGGAGCAGAGGTAAACATCATGGATGAACACCAACACAAGGCACTGCAGCACAGATCGAGCAATCCACAATCACTACAGGCAAGCCATATCAAACTACACACCTTGCAGAGCGACTTACCTGTAAAAGGGGAGTTTCGGACGATCGTCAGAAATGACACACGTGGAGCAGCAAAAAAGTTTGTTGTTGTCAAAGGCAGAATTAACTCGCCTCCACTTATCAGCAAAAACACCCTCATTGAACTGGGGATGATGAAACTCCAACCAGACGGCTCCCTTGCAGAAATAAACGACCTTCGAATTCCAGAGAACACCCAGACTGTCAAATCAATCAGCAACACTACCACAGCTCGCCAGCAGACACAGAAAATCGTCGAAAAATACAAAAGGGTATTTCAGGGTATCGGCCTGATCCGAGATGTCAAGAGCGACACAGACATCTTCGCAAAATTCAACATGAAGCCAGAAGCAGCACCAGTAGCCCAGAAACCGAGACCTGTAGCATACTACCTCCAGAAACCATTAAAAGAATGGTTAGACCAGTGCATCAAGGAAGGCATCTTTGAGGAAGTTCCCCCAGGCGAGCCAGTGACATGGTGTTCCCCACTCGTGGTGCAACCAAAGCCACGATTCGGACAGACGCCGAGAGATGAGCTACAACCACACATGATCAGAGCCAGTGTCGATCTACGCGTCCCAAACAAATTCATGGAGAGGAACAGGATCACCCAAGGGCCTGTGGTTGAAGATTTCATGTACAAGTTCCATGACTGCAAAGTCTTCTCTAAACTTGACATGAAACAGGGCTATCACCAGCTCCTACTAGACCCAGAATCGAGAGGCATAGCAACCTTCAGCACACCTTGGGGCAATCTGCGTCCAAGACGATTAGTCTTCGGTGCCAAAGCATCCCAAGATCTCTTCGATGAGACTATCTTCAAAATATTTGGGGACATCCCAAAGAGCCTCAACCAGCGAGACGACATTCTCTTGGGAGGGCGTAACATCGAAGAACACGACAAAGCGTTGCAAGCAGTCTTGCAAAGAGCAGCTGACTTTGGCATTACCTTCAACCTTGACAAATGCCAGTTCGGAGTTGAGGAGATTGAGTTCTATGGCTACAAGTTCACAAAGGATGGACTCAAGCCGACTCCCGACAAAGTTCGAGCAATCAAAGAGAGCAAGGCCCCAGAGTCCAAAGAAGCTGTGAGAAGTTTCCTAGGCATGATTGGATATCTCTCCAAATTCATCCCTAGATATACATCACTGACAGCACCGCTGAGAGAGCTGACACACAAAGACAGCAAGTTCAAATGGGGACCAGAAGAGAACGCAGCCTTCGAGAAGCTGAAGGACAGTATCACCAATGAAGATACCATGGCGTACTTCAACCCAAAACTGCCAATCACAGTGCGAGCTGAAGCAAGCTATCATCAAGGTCTATCAGCTGGACTCTTCCAAGAGACTCCCAAAGGACTTCAACCAGTACACTTCATCAGCCGCACCATGACACAAGCAGAGAAGAGATACAGCCAGACTGAGAAAGATGCTCTAGCTGTCCAGTGGGCGAAAAACAGATTTCGCATCTATCTTCACGGTGCACCCAAATTCCGCATCATCACCGCTCACAAACCTCTGATACCCATGTTCAACAAGACGACAGCCAAGCTCCCTCCAAGAATTGAGAAATGGGTGATGAACATGCAAGACGTCGACTTTGAACTTGTCTATGAACCAGGCAAGGACGAAGCAGACCCGCTAGACTTCCTTTCCAGACACCCCCTGCCGGAGACTGGAACGGATAGCACCGAGAAGATGATAAAACAAGTCATAGAAGCAGACCATGCAGTTATCATCGACCGAATCAGAGATGAAACCCAACATGACAAACAGCTCCAGAAACTACACAAGAGAATCCGTGCGGAAGACTGGGAAAGTCACAGAAAGGACCCAGACATCACACCTTTCTATTCAATCCGACAGGAGCTGTACGAAGCAGACGGCCTGATGTTCCGACTTAACCGCATCGTCATACCCAACTGCCTGCAGCACAAAGTCATCAAGGCAGCACACAGCTTAGGACATCTCGGGATGACGAAGACCAAGCAGATGCTCCGAGAGAAATACTGGTTTCCAATGATGAACAGTATGGTGGAGCAGATCATCGGACAATGCTACGAATGCCAGGTAACTACAAAAGACCATAAGCAGCAACCAATCAAGATGACACCCATACCAGAGAAACCATGGGAAGTTATCGCTGTAGACTTCGGAGGACCGTACCCAGATGGTCACTACAACCTAGTCGCTGTAGATAAACGTACGAGATACCCAGAAGTCAAGACTACCCACTCAACGGCGTTCAAACCGACAATGGAGAAATTGAAGGAGATGTTCGCTGCACACGGGATACCGCGACGACTAGAAAGCGACAATGGGCCCCCTTTCAACTCCAAGGAATTCACTGAATTCGCCAAGCGAGAGGGACTCCACCACCATAAAGTCACACCAGACCATGCCAGAGCTAACGGAGAAGCCGAGAGTTTCATGAAGTTGCTGAACCGAGCAGAGCAAATTGCCCATCTTCAGAAGAAGAACAGAAACATCATCATCCAGGAGATGCTCACTGGATACCGCTCAACGCCACACCCAGCAACTAACATCACACCATACGAAGCACTGATGAACAGACCGGTGAGAACAAAGCTTGACCACCAACCCGGAAAACACACTCAAAACATCAAGGACAGCATCATTGACGAAAACGACAAACAGTACAAGGAAAGGCTGAAACAGAATGCTGAAAACAGGAACACAAAACAACACAACTTTGTAGTTGGAGACTACGTCCTTCTCAAACAGACCAAGAAGAACAAATGGAGCACAGCATATGAACCGGCATTCTACATTATATACTGCATCGATAACTCATCCATAGCAGCCAGAAGAGTCACCGACGGGCGAGACATTTATCGAGATGCCAGCCACTTTAAACTTGTCAACAGCGTAGTGCGCAACACAGATGACGTAACCATGCATCAGGATGATGCAGAATCCGAGGACGACTGGAGAGAAGGCATTCTTCTTCAATCGAACCCTGAAACCCAGCCAGATGAAACCAGTCCTACACAACCAGATCTCTCTTCAAACAAAGAATCTACATCCAGATCTGTCTTCACACCGCCAGAAGCAAAACCATCTACGCAGACATCACCAGAACCACACACTAGGCCAAGAAGGAACCGCCAACGACCAACCTACTTGAGAGACTATGTTGACTAGAAAAGAAAAAAAAACCAGAAAAAAAAGGAAAAAAAGGAAAAGAAAGGAAACGAATCAGTTTCAAAGAAAAAAAAAAACGAAATTAAGGATTTGTTCAGATATTTTCAAAAAAGAGATGGAGAAAGAAAACAAAATAGTTTCGATTGGAAATTGTTCATTATAATTAAGTTTTAGTTCATTTGGATATTCCTTCAGAAGTACTAAGGAATTTTATTAGAAAAAAAAAGAGATTAAGACAAATTCAGATGAGAGCGAAAAGAAAAATATTTGCAAGAAACTGAGACTGGAGAAATGAACACTAGGATTGTTTTCCTTATAGCAAACGAGATCAAACAATCTCACTTAAACTTTCAGAGCTAAGTTCTTCAAAGAAAAGGAGAAGTGTAATAACCCTCATTATATTATTTAAAGGCTTCAATGATGAGCCACTATTATTCTAGTTAAATGCTTCAATCACAGCAAGCTCACATGTGTTGTATTATGCATCCAACATGGCACATATGCATCAGAACAGCAGAAATCGTGTCTGTGTTTTATTCAGTCTGAGATCGGATTATTATAAAGCATTGGACATTACAATACCTAGCTGTTGAAATTCGAGTCTAGTGCATTATATATGAAACTAGAACAGATGTCTAAAATAGAGTTGGGTTGAAGGGGATTAGCAGGGTTACAACCAACAATGCATGAAATGTCAGTATAATACACTTTTGTTCCGAACAAAATGTCTAGTAAAAACTGAATAATGATCGCCATTGTTTACATTGTTTACATTGTCCGTAGGCTATCTTAAGCTTTTCAGACTTTTCTGGTTCATAGTGTGAACTAGGATAGGTTGGAAGGAACCATGTTGGAACCCGAGACCATACTGGTTGTTAGTCATGTGATGCATCATGGCCATTGAAGGGATTGGATTGCTGAACTAGGTTCTGATGAGGAAACCAGGCATATGAGGCTAGAGTCCCTGTGATCATATACTTAAGAGGATTTAACTGGGCTATAAGGTAGGTTGGAGGGAACCATGTTGGAACCCGAGACCATACTGGTTGTTAGTCATGTGATGCATCATGGCCATTGAAGGGATTGGATTGCTGAACTAGGTTCAGATGAGGAAACCAGGCATATGATATATTAAACCAGAGACCAAGGTATAATGATTACTGAGGGAACCAATCAGATGAAGTGATATAACCAGAGACTATAAGGTATTATGATTCTAATCCAGTGCATGGATTTGGATCGCTGACCTGGGTTGATTGAAGAACTCAGGCAGAGTTAAACCCAAGACCTAGATATTATATTCCAGGCCAGTGAATGATGCACATGGATGCTAACTTACGTGGGTTGAAATTCAGAAATGACCAGGCTGTGGTAACCCAAGATTTAAATATTAAGAATTGAGGCTAGTGCATCTTTGACTTTAAGTAAAGGATCACTGGATTGGGGGGTTTGGAGGAAACCAGTAAGAGGTGCAACCTGAGACCAAGATATTGACGGTATTGATTTTTCATCTTTTCATAATGCAGTTTCCGTCCGGATACCTCTAAGATCACATTCCGCGAGGATGGCTTCGGCTCCTTCAACTTCTCCCTCAGACTTTACCATGGCAACGATTACACCACGCCCTACCAGCCTGCTGACTACCCCGTCCACGTCGCGATGGGAAACAAACTCTACTTCGAGGCTCGAACTTGGAGTGAGCCTGGACTGGAGCTGTTTGTGCAGACGTGTCGTGCCACGCCTTCCTCCAACTCGGATGATTTTCATCGTTACACTTTCATCCAAGATGGGTGAGCTAATGGTTTCTAATGTGCAAATGAAATTGAGTCATGTGTACCCTTACATCTTCAGCATGTTCAGATTCACACAGCCAAGCTACTGATGGTTCATCTGTCGAGGTAGTTTTAACAAAAGAGTTGTTTTTGTTGGTAGGGGATCAGAAAATGATTTGTGTGTGCTATAGGTCTTTGAGTTCATGTATATTTAAATATAATCAACAAAAGTCTCACACCATCACACAATCGTAGCCCCCCCCCCCCCCCACCCCTTACAAAACTATCCCTTGGAAATATCCCATGGGATCGCCATGGAGATTTTTCATTGGAATACAATGGAGATTGCCCATGGGTTCGCCATGGAGATTTCCCATAGTGGTCCATGGGGTTTTGGACCCCACGTACCGCCTGGAATTTTCACCTTGGGGTTTTTCCCATGGAAAACAAATGGTGTCCATGGGACAGCATGGCGGGTTTTTTTTTGCTGTGCTTGGTGTTCCCATGAGACACCATCGTGTTTTTTTAAGAAAATACCATGAGAATCCTTATTACTCCCATGTCTTTCCCATAGCCTCGCCATATGACGTTTTTGTAAGGGCCCCCACCAAGGTTACAAAAATAGAAATCAAAAGGCTTATATACATGTTTCTGAACAAAATGGATATCAACTCATATTCAGAGTCAAGTACAGGCCTTTTTTCTATTTGTTTAAAATGTGGGCTAGGAAGTTGTGGTTCCCTGTGCTTCCTTTGATTCTGCACAGGAACCACAAAGAGAACAGTAATGACATTCTTGATCTTATACCCAAACGTGTAATTGACATTAAGAGGATCTTTTTTTCCCAATTAAATCAAAAATATATATATTGAAATGCAAATACTGGCATAGAGTCATGATCACCCATTTTACTGTTCTTTCATTTAATTGTTATTGTGCAGGTGCGTTGAGGACAACACAGTGGTGTTCCATCCATCAGACGACCCGGACATAGAACGTTTTGAGATTGATGCCTTTGCATTCGTAGATGCCCTACCTCAGCCTGTGGTAGGTGTTTAATCTTTTTGAGGTTGTGCATGAACTGTAGCGGGCGCTGTATAGCAAAGCAGCAAGGTCAAAAAAAGAAAAGTGCCTTTGTTGTTTGACATGTACTGTGCATATGTTGTGCTGAAGTAGATTTGGAGTGGTTTAACATACCAATACAATCTAGTAAGTCTGGGCACAGAGAATGAAACCCTTATAGAGCAGGTTCTAATTGTTTTCTTGCTGGTTTAGTTGCCAATATTCTTATATAAATGACAAAGCGTGCATACTGTACAACTGTACAGAGTGTGCCAAAAGAGTGAAACTGTTGGAAAAAACAATGAATGAACACAGTTTCATTGTTGTTTTTTTCTTCAATGAAATTAGATATTACATTCAAGCCTGACTATACCTTAATCCACTCATTTTTACCCCATGCTATTTGGGTACCTCAATCCAAAAATACAATCCATTAAGTAAAAGGGTGTAAATTTTTACCTAGGTCACTCCCACGTGTGATGTCATTAACTTCAATGCCTATTCAATGCCTATTCAGTGCTCAACCCATATTTAGCATGTCCAAGTAGTGGATTGGCAAATGGTCAGGCTTTGATCTGATATAAAAGTTCATTGATGAAAAAACAATTAACAGTTTTAATTATTTGTTTGCCTGTATGTTGCATTTTGTTTGGCACACTCTGTATGTACTTTCAATTACATAACAGATTTGGAATGATTTAACATTAAGGCTTGGCATTCATAATAAAAATCAAATAGAGCAAGTTTCTCACTGTTCTTTGGAAAATTCCAAATCTTAAGTAAATTTCTTGTTTGTTTCACTATATTCTTATTCATATATCTGCCAGGCACCATGTCATAGACCTACAGTTGCATGTCAGGTTAATTATTTTTTTATTTATTTCTTATTGATCCTGGGTGATCCACTCAGTGAGAAAAACTCACTGATCTCCCATGGATCCCAGCTCCCACAAAAATACTGGTCAGCAAGAATGATTCAGAAGCAGATGCAGGATTTTCAAAATCTCAGTGGGCTCAGATTTAAAAAGCCAAGAGTTTCAAGGGGGGGGGGGGGGCTGAGGCTAATGATTGTAGTTGATGCACACAGAGACAAATGATTCTTTTCCATCTTAATATCAGGGACCTAGATGTTGTAACTTAATGTCTCAAGTTTTATCTAAATTCCAAATCTGTTCCTTCTTTATAGGTGTACGTCCATTGTGACATGGTTCTGTGTAACTCCACTGATGCATCCTCGCGCTGTGCCATTGGATGTCCCACTAGAAGCATGAACTTACTCCCCGGTGTGCACAGACGCCATGCCAGATCTGCGTCTGGTTCCCGCGCATATGCCATCACGCAGGGACCCATATCTGTGCTGGAAGATGGGGGGAAAGGTAGGGAAAGGAGGAGGGGTAGGCTATGAAACATGGAGCATGACTAGGGTGGGGATGGGTAGGGTGGTAGGGTGTAAGTGTTAGTCAAAATTTTTGGGACTCTGACTACTGTGTTTGAGAGTGCCAAACATAAGATGGTAAAAACATGCAGTACAATAGACTGACAAATGAAACAACCAGTCCAACACCCCTTTAGTACTGCATCAATTAACTGTGTCAAAAGAAACATCTGATACCCAGTGTCTATTACTGCACATTATTTATTTATTTTTACACGAAGTCATGCCACCAAACTACTGAAGGGTCAGTCTTTTTGGACATGTACTAGTCTAGCCTTGCCCTTTATAGCCTCAAATAGAAAAGGTGCACAGTGTTGAATAAATGTCATGTCAGTCTTGATTTCAGACCTTGAACTTGGCTGGTGCAATAGTGGAGACCTAGTCTTTACCTCATGAGAATTTTGGAGACATTTGTTAACTATAGAGTCAGTATGTAAGTCGGCCTGATTTTGTATTGCATGTTTTTCTGCACTCAAGGTGCAATTAGCCTGGTGTTATATGTACAGTGGAGTTGTGGGTGGGATAGGGAGGGGCAGAGAGATAGGGTGGATGACATTTGGTAGGCTGGGATGGGGCAGGGTGGAAGGGGAGGGTAGGGAGTCATTGGATGTGCTGCAGGGATGGATTGATTGGAAGGGATTAAGGGAGTGATTGGGTAGGGACGAGCAGGATTGATGTTGGTGGATATAGGTTAGGGCAGGATATGTGTAGGTGGGAAGGGTAGTGTGCAATTAGACTGGGTGTGGTGGGCTGGGTGGGATGGAGAGGAAGTTTGAGGGAGGATTAGGCAGGGAGGGGAACTGTAAGTGTTGTGGAGTAGGATATAATAGTTCAGATGGGTAGAATGGGACATGGTGTGGTGGGTTGGTATATATAGGGATAGAGAGGAAAATATAGGGAAGGATTGGTATAGGGAGGAATAGTGTTTGAGTAGGGTACATGGTATAGGGTACATGGGATAAGATGGTATGCAGTGGGACTGTGTGTGTGGTGGACAGGGTGTGATTGAATGGAAGGTGGGGGATTAAATGGGAGGAAGTATAGGAAGGATTAGAGTTGTTGTAGGGAATAGGGTGGTGGAATAGGGTACCATGGAGTGCGTTGGGTGTGGTATGGATGGAGTAGGGGTTAAGGGATGGATTGTTTTTGTGGTGGTGGGGTAGGATATAGGGCAGTTTCGAGTCGGACTTAAATTGGTGCGGTATGGTTGGCAGGGTGGGATAGATTAGGGATTAAGGGATAGATTGGGCAGAGAGTAGTGTTGAATAGAGGGGTGAAATGTAGTAGATGGGATGGTGTAGGGTGGAGTGGGGTATATTATTTTGATTAAATATATTTGGTTATGATGGCATACATGTATAAAGAGTGTGGAGCATGGTTGCATGGGTGGGTATGACACAGTGGGTTGGGATTTCGATTAGGATGCGTGTGGTGAGATGTTTGTGTCAAATGCAGTTGGGGTAGATGTTCGGGTATGGTGTTAACTAGACTAGGCTGGGATGAGCAAAGGAGGTGGGGTATTAAAGGATGTGCAAATAAAACCCAAAATATGTCCATTTTCAAATGTTGAATTTGTTGAGTCAGATAATGGCATTTTGTGTTAAATTCCTGCCCTAAAAATTTAGCATCTGTACGCTTTTGTTTGCTTTTTTTTCTCAGAAGGAAGTGAGATGTCGTCTGTTCAGCTGCCAATCCTTCTGACTACTGTCTGCCTATTGGTTGGCTGCGTGCTGGTACTTGGCACACTGATTGTTGTGATGCGTAAACGCAACCAACGCCTTCAATTGTACTCGCCACTGGCCACTGAAGAAAACTAGACACAGGAACTGTCTACTAGTCTTAGTTCATAAAAGATTTAAGAGAAATTGAGAACAATTAAAGTAAAAATCTTTTATGCTGATAGGCATGGATGATATTTAATAGAAATTGATTTAATGAAGTAAAATTAAGTTGTCTTAAATTTTAATAGCTGTCGTATTCCAATAAAAGTAACTGGCTAACTAGATTAGTAATCACATATTTTTCTTCAAGCTCATATGGCAAAACTAATCAGTAACTAAATTTTTTTTTTATTTAGCTTTTTCCCCATTTTTATTCTTATTGAGAACAGTTAAAGTAAAAATTTATTTTTCTGATAGGCATGGATGATATTCAATAGAAATTGATTTAATGCAGTAAAATTAAGTTGTCTTAAATTTTAATAGCTGTCGTGTTCCTATCAAAGTAACTGGCTAAGTAGAGTAGTAATCACATATTTTTTCTTCAAGCTCATTAGGCAAAACTAATCAGTGACTAAATTTCTTTTTTATTTAGCTTTTTCCCCATTTTTATTCTTATTAGCAGTAGGAAATTGCTAATTACCCGGAAATTAAAACAAATGCCCTGCCGATTCGATGAGAAAAAAAGTAGCTCAATTTGGTGCATTGAGTGGCCAACGATTTTTTAACACCCTCTTATGAAAATGAATGAAATTTTTGCATTAATAATAAAAAAAGTAAGAAAAAATAGCTTTTTCTTAATTCTCGTTTAAGCATAATTTTTTTAAATGCTTATCACTCACGGCTATCTCAATGTCAAATGCTTACTAATTAATAGATAAATAAATCGTCGAATTGATGTTGTTGCAAAAGTCGTTTGAATGCTTTCTTTTGATTTTCAATGTTTAAAAAAACATTTGTGGGTGTATTTTTCAATAATAAGTCGGGAAAAGGTGTTATAGATCGATTTAAAACGACTGTCAACGTCGAGGTAAATTAAAAAACCCTGGATATGACTTCGTCCCTCCTTTTTTTTTTACTTTGTTACACCTTTTTTTGCCCCCCCCCCCGCGACGCTCATGCACGTGTGTACATGAAAAGCAATCATACAACATTCTCCCTCTTAGACTTGAATTTATGTGTACTCCCCCCCCCCCCTTCTTTGTATCTAGTCCAATTTCTGAATGTTCCCAGCCGGCCAGAAAAATCCCCCCCCCCCCTTCAAAGAGTCATGTATGTCCACCGCACTACACTCAAAACATCCCTCTCTTTATATAGAGATCAGTGCATATGCATGAGACTTTAGGACATGTAACCAGTCTACTTTGTTTACTGAAGGCGCACCGTCGATTACGTGCTTTCTGTTAATTAATGTTATATATACCATTATACCATGTTAGAGTTATAATCTTCAATTAATAGCGTGACATTTTTTAAAGTGCCGTTATATTTTTTTATATTCTTAGTACAACTTAAGTTTTACAATTAGTTTGGAGGCCTTCAGCTCTGTAATAAACTAAGTTTTGGGCCGAGCCTAACTTTCCTACGCAACGTACTTCGCCGCGCCATGGCCTACGTCCGTCCGTGCATACGTCCGCACGTGCAAAACTCGCAAGCATCGGGCCTTTGCAGACGTACCGTAAGTTTCACTTTTGTCGTTCAGTCGTTGGCAGTGTTCAATTTGTGGACGCTACTTTTTTAATTCATGTTATCTGAACATGCAGGACATTTCATGAGTATCAAATGTGAATGAAATCCGTTGTTTTGAACGGATTTTTATGGTTGGACTTGTCGAGAAAGTTCTGCACATGAGTTCGTTCACGCACATGACGTACATGCACATGAGCTGCTATATCGTGACTCGACGACAATTTCGTGTATTGTGGATCCAACGGCTCTCTCTTGAGCGGAAAAGAATGTTGCATTCTGACGCCACTTTTTTCAATGAAGGTCAGACATCGAACAAATATTGGTAATACATGAATCTGGGACTGAAAAAAAAACATTTCCTGTTTTGTTGGAAAATACAGTCGTTTGACCGGTTCCGCAATCGCAAATCGTCTGAAGCGTCTTGTGGCGAAAAAAACGCGCTTTCACAGGAAGCTACCTATCTATAAATATGCGCAAATTACTCACCTACTTCATGATATGAATAGTTTTCTGCGATCGTTTGAAAGAGAAATTTGCCAGGACATTTTGTAGAGGTCGGTGCTTTGACCGGTTTCGCAAACGTTTTCCGGTTTCGCAAACGGTGCCCTCTGTGAGACTGGACTGAAAATATTCCTTGTTTACTGGCCAAATCTAGATCGTTTTTGCCCCCAAAACCAGCCAAGAAAAGATTGTGATTATATTTCCCTGTGCATGAGCCAAGGTCTGCACATTATAATGCGTCCAAATTTACAAAATGTAACTCCATGAAGTTGTTATGGTTCGTTGGATCTTTGTTCACGTTATAATTATTTGACTTGATTCAATCTGTAACTTCTTCTCATTGTCTTCTCTCCACAGGTTTCTTCAGGCTTGCGAGCTACAGTGCCTAGGGCGCTTTTGAGGAATCCTTGGTTTCATTACCAGAAATTATAGAATAATAATAATAATCCAATTAAATGACTTTCTTGCTTTTTGTGCATTCTGTCAATCATCATGCAATCACTATTATTTTTTCTTTTTTGTTGTTTTATTCTGATTAAGACACACTCTGACTTTGGAGTGAACCAGACACAAACCTTGTACCGAATTGCTCCAGTTGTTTATGAATTTGAATTAATATTTTCTCCAGGATCATTTTAATTCCTATGACACTTAAGGAAGTGACTGCATGGCTGGATGAATTGGAACTGAATCATTGTCTGCAGGGGAGCACTGTTTATTAATATTATTTGTTTATTTAATTATTATTATTTATTTACTTTTGTGTATTCCCTCCCCCTTTTTTTCAGTTTCCTTTCTGTTTTTTTTTTTTTTTTTTTTTTTTTTTTGGGGGGGGGGGGGAGTGTTTCAATTTGTTCAGGGTAAAAACACAATATGCTTAATTTTGTGTGCACCAACATCCAGTAGGGGGAACCTGGGGGCCGAGAGGGGAGGGGGAACAGGCCTCAGCGGGCCAGATACATACAGGCCACATACATATTGTTTCACATTCAAATTAAATTTAACAAACAAATTAAAACAAATTGTTAAAAATGTCATAAATCCTATGGCTGTTTCATAGTAATGGCAATTTCTAATTATAATGTCGTTGGAAAGTTAAAGAGAGGGTTCAGTTACTCCTCATACGTTGTTGCACATATTAACTCTGTACGTGTATCATGCTTGGGCAACTGTATTAGCAAACCTCATCTACCGTTCGGTGATACTCTTAAAAGAAAATGTCAACACATTCATCACGTACATCCTGATAACCCTTTCAATATATGGACGTGATACCTGCATGTGTAAAATGTAAATGTAATACAAAACTAAAGCACTCAAGAAGCTACCCCTTTTAAATCCAAAAATGATACCTGTCATATAAATAAATGGTGATGAATCACAGAAATAGACATGTTCTGTGGGTTTTTCATGCAAAGTAGCATAGTTTTTAAAACACCTCACTTCTCTTTCACATGTACTGGTTAATCAACATGTATGTAACGCCTTTAAATTTATTGCCTTTATGACGCCTGCATGTCTGTTTAATTGTTATACACAAATAATTTAAGCACTCCAGAAGCTAGCACTATTCAAAAAAAGAACTTGTCACATAAATAAATTAATTCAAAGGAATGGTGATGAAGACACACAGCTACATGTACTTTCACTATAATATTCAACTTCTTCTTGACTTTCACAAGTAAAACTGAAAAATATGTGCAGATGGCCTCTTATGGCCCATCAGGAGGCTGGCGTAATCTTCTTCTTTGTCTTTGGCATTGTCTGTATGAAACAGAAATGTTATATAAATCATTTAGTTTATGACCAAGTTGAGACAAAAATTGAGAAATGGTTTAAAGTTTTTGACAAATTTTGTGCTCCAAGAAAACAATCAAAATTTGTGTCTCTGTACTGATGTGAGACTGGTCAATAGTGTACCTATTTTTCTTTTTGTTTAAAAGGGTAAAGAGTAAGGTTAGAACCCACCGAAAAAGGATAATTTTAAATTTACTAAATTACTGGAAATGTCCTTTGGGTTAGAAACATACGTTTTATTTTCCATATTATTATGCACTATTTTTAATTGTTCCCCACAAACCTCAACTCCTAGCCTGGGCTGACTCGTGCACCCTGGATGTGGAGAGTTGTAACTCTAAAATGAATCCAAACCCCTGAGGCACATGGCGTGAAATTTTTTAGAGCAAAGGAAAAACTTTAGTGGGAATTTTGCTCACTAAAAAAGATTTTTGTATTTTAAATTTGAAGTCCGAATTTTTTTTATCCAAAACCTAGTGCTATCCGGAAGCTGGACAGAAACAAAATCATTTTGTTTCAATTTTGTTTTCAATTTTGCACTGAACACCCAGATATGATCATCAAATTCGACATTTTTAAACAAGGATTAATAGAAATTCTCAAAAAAAGAAAAAAAGATTCATGCCAAAATAAATAATGTGCGCCGCGCTAGGGGGCCGTCATCAACAATTCTTGTCAATAGCATGGCCAGTGTATTGTATAGGCAGTATGAATGCGTTTGCGGAACCGGCCAAACGACCAGCAGTTACTCTGGTGGGTATAGAAAAAAAATTCAAAGACTTCAAATCTTATATTTGTATGGTGGAATAATGAATAATTTCCGAAAAAGTTGCATCTATCGCCATGATTTAATTCCCCTGAACAATCGTGTAGCAGGCCGACAAACACGAAATCACGCTTCCGTGCGCGTTCCATTCGGCAGTTCGTTAACAGCAAGTGACGGTCGTAGGGGATTTATTTTTAAATGTAAGCGAGTATCCTAAAACTAACACCATTTTTGAAAAGTAGATTGAATAACCTTTCCATCGGTACCAAAGTTTAAGTCCTTGGCGTTTTCGTCTTCCTGAAAACGAGAGCTAGTTTTCCGAAATTGCGGAACTGGTCAAATTGCGGAACCGGTCAATTGACTGTACTTTGAAAATACGCTCAACTCTACATAAACTTTGTAACAATCAAAAAAGTGGGCATCTGGATACTACATTATTTCCCTTTGTTTTGTTTTACAAAATAAAGAGTATAGTTTAAATACAGCTGATTATTTTTCATTCCAACACCCAGTAAATATTGTTGAATACCCAGTTCTGGCCATTAAAAAGGGCTTAGTAAAATGAAGAACTAAATACCGGTACCCAATTTTTAATTGTAAATATCGCCTAGTACAGGCTAGCGATAGCCCGCAATGCGTTTTGAATAGGGTCTTAACTTCCTCCGCCACATGATGCAAGCTAAATTCCATGAAAAGTTGATTCCTGAATTTGAAATCGAAGCTATGTTTGATGCCATACGTCTAGACGTCTTGTCACCCTCTAGGGGAAATTTGGAGAGTTGCTCTGAACATGCCTGTAGGCATTTGTTTAATTTTTTTGAGGTCATGGGTCATACATCTTTGAACTTCTAGTTTTAATACAATACAGGGACTGACACATAACCTTAAATGTTCTATATTTGGCCGCCGGTGTAATAGTGTCCATTGTAAAAACTTGTTCTTGTAGTTGGATTCCTTTTAGTAACAAGATTAACTAGACTGCCAGCAACTGTACAGTGCAAGGCTTATCC